TCTCGCTGCAACAATACCATTTGCGGCATACATACAGGCAGCTGCAATACAAAAAAGACGGACTATTCAGGAGTACAGGTAAACTCGCTGATATTCATTTAACGTACATTTCCGTGATATACCGTCAAAGGACATGAATATTGGTGTATGCGTCATCGCCAGAATTATTTATATTTATGGGGGATATTCTCCAACAGAGACCCATTCGTAGTGGTTAGAAAAAAAAGCATAGGGGAACCGTATATAATTGTAGCGTTTAGCATAATTAATTGAACAATTCCATCAAGACGGGTGCACCTTAGACCGCTAATAGACCTGTATTGATTGCTTGCAAATTAGTTAAAAGCCCTATTGACAGAGACTGAATAGCTAAAGTTTGTCTTTCTGAATGTTGGGCTTTGTCTCCTATGTAAATGCCTACTTTTTACCTCACCGACATCATTGAAGGGATTCTATAATCCCGTTTTTGTTGTAAACATTACTGATAAGCCGTGGATTTTCTCTATTGCTCTATTTACACTGCTTCGTTTGAGGCTTGGGAAAAATTCTTTTTATTTCACCCTGAGTTGTTGAAGTCAATCGGTTACATGTAGTGAATGCGACGCTTCAACTGGAATACTTTCTTTTCATTTTCTTCATACCGCGATCAAAGCAACAATGATCTGTGTACCATCTCTGCTACGCACCGCTGCAGACCAGACGGACGCACTGAACAGGGGAGCATGGTTGACAATAAATCCCACTCAATCTGACCGACTTATGTTCATCTCTGCACACCCGGGATTTCCTCGCCATCAAAACTTCGGTTCCCGTCACGGTCGCAGGAACGACGAGCATACCCGAATTCAGTGAGCTGACAGCAGCATAAGCTGGTTGGGTCTGATAGGCCGCGGGGACCGGTAGACCCGCTCACACGTGAAAGCCCCGAAGCAGTGCCGGCGGCATTTTTTTGCGAAACACTGCCGTTTGTCTATTCTTTCAAATACTAGCCAGCGTCCTTGTCAGGTCGGATCAAATCAACGCAATGGGCGAGTCTGTGAACACGGTGAGCGCTGGACAGTAAAAAGGGAAGGGCAAAGGTGAGAACGGAATGTGGCCACTCACCGTCCCTCAACGGGACGGTGGGCCACTTTGCACCGGAGAATCTTGCGACTGTTCGGCACGTCGCACGCCCATGCAAGTGTTAAACAGTTAATGCCATGAATAGACGAACACAGGAGAGAAAATTTGGTCTGGGACTCAAGGAGCCATTGACAATATTAAATGGCCACTTTGGATGAACTCGCCAGTGCTTTGGTGGAGGACAGATTATTCAAAATCCTTATAATTAGCCCCTACAGCCCCGAGTATTCTTGTAAAGTTTGGTTGGCTCCAGTCGAGTGTTTTTCTTAATGGACCAATGGGCAGCCAGTTACCTGAGGGTAGGCTTAGTGTCGTTTGTCCTAAGCTGAGTGGGCCTTTATTTTTCACGAAGAAAGAAACTCCGGGAAAGCTTGGCCAACTGAAAACTGTGCCCGAAAACACAAACACTATTGAAGTATCATTGTGCCCTGATGAACAACTGTGAATAAGAGAAAAGGCAAAGTGAAAAACTCAAAACATGCTGTTTATTGAATTTGAGTAAATTGAAGAGATGAAAGCAAAAACCCTCTTAGACAAAAGCGATTTTTTTCTCTTGCAGAAGTAGTAGTCAGTTGATAGCGACATGTCTCTTCATCAGCCTTCAATATTTCCTTTCTTGGTTAGGGTAATCTCGAGCAAGACGCCCGGGGCTTGACATAATGCCTGTATTTTGAGGGCTCTGATCAATAAACAAATGCAATCTGCTCGGCCGGTTTTAGTGTCAAGGTAAGAAAACAAACAAACAGCGATAGAACGAACCGCAAAATGAAAATAGGATCGGGTGGGTCTTGAAGATCGCTAGAAGGCGATGTACGGGCAGATGCGAGTTTAACGGGATGTACTTAGAACAGCCCTTTGAACGCTATATCGAGTCCACAAAGTACGTCTTGAATACACCAATCAAATTGACTAACTCCTGTTGACTTTTAGCGCAAATAGTGTATTAAGTTTCAGGGACTAAAAACGACGTATTATGATATTATGATTACGACTTTAAGGATCATAGCTATAATTATAGGCATTTCAAGGTGAATTAGAGAACCGATTAACATTCACGAGAGGTGAGCATTACGCACGTTCATTCTCTGCCGTGCTAAACACACTTACTGAAAAAAAAGTGTGATAAATTATTTGCCTTAATTGGAAAATGTATGATTCTGCTATGTTACGGCATCTATCGTGAAAAATAGATTACATTTGAACATATCAATGTTGGCATTTACAGAAAATACTTCGATCTGTATGCCGCCGGCATTTGAATAAATCACCATTCTGACTCGCGCGCCCGGTTCCACACCTCGATATCATGAAGCCAGCCTTTCAGCATTAAATTGTTTGTTTTCCCGTTGTATAACAACTTCCCCGGGGATTTGGTGCACATTTCCACACTACATAATTGATTGGAGTCCGCAAACCAATTAAAAAAACGCAAAACAACGTATGCGTCGAAGTCGAATAGAGTCGTTCCAGTATTTTAACCCAAATATTGCAATTGAAAGACGATCCAGAATAATTGGAACAGAAAAACAAAAACAAACCAAGATATTTAGATGAATTTATTGCCTCATGACTACCGATGATGATGATGTTATGTCATGACACGGCACGTGACCTTACCTATGCATACGAGTCTATTGATTCTCGGAGTACCGTCTACCCACAACGTAGTTTCTTCGCGATCATAAAGCTCGTGAACGGCCTGTAGAACGACTCTTCTGGGATTGCCTCTCACAGCTAATAAACCCTATAAAACAAAATTAAAAGAAATTGAATCGTTCAGTTTCCATTGACTATTAATTTAATACCTATAATCTCCGAGATGCCGGGGAAATAAATTCCCGACGTTTATCAGACCCCAGTGGACGCGTTACGCGGAAGCTTCTGTTGTCTATTAAGCAAATTGTTTAGTAATGCCTCCCTGGTGTCAGCAAAGACATTTGTTGGAGATAAAACACACTGATTAGGTATATTAATATACGGTTCAAATTAGACGTGTTGTCGTAACAATTTCAATCACGGGTTCATCAGAGCTGCAGATTGGTGGCAACACGGAAGGTATTACCTTCCATGGTGGCAAGCAGGATTGGGTGATTCACTGAGACTGTATTAGTGCAACCAGCTCCGATCCGAATTTACACTAGTTTGCTAACACTAATGTTTAAATAAATAATTCCACACATTACTGGAATTTATAGAATAGAATATATACGTGTAACAAAAAAACATGTACCGCTTGTAGGTGGTGACTAATGACGTCAACACGCTACAGTCGTCTCGCCGCGCGCATTCTGAAATTCCACGTACTAAGCAATGTTCGGAACATGCATGCGTTGTATATGTCGAGAGTGACACGGCGCGGCGCGAAGACATTGGCGCTTTAAGCTGAAAACAGAAGGTACGTATTCATTGAACCATACTCCGCCGTACTGATCACCGTTTACGCATTTCTTTTCTCTGATTTTATATTCTCCCCCAGTAAAATCGTGAAACGACTCTTTTTTTTTATAATAGTTTGTAAATTGTAAAAAGTTTGTCAAAGTACACAACATCACATCTCTGTCAAAATATCGCACACGCAATGCTTTATGTGGGCACACGTGTAATATATGCCTCCCCCATGAACTTACATCGGCCCTGTCCCGAAGATGGAAATAGGGATATGTATACCTTGAATTCAAAACTTGATTTTCAATGGGTCAACTTTGCAATTTTTTTGTGTGCAAATCTGATTTTTGAATACAAAGTTTTTAGACGAAAAATTAGGGTGGCAAATCCCGTTCGCTATACCTCCCGCGAGAACGCAACGCAACGCAACGCAACGCATACACAAATATGCAAAGCACTGTGTTAGATACTACGGGACTGTTACGAGCACACTAATACAGAGGTGAACACATAATGAAGCTATTCGATGTACCCACTGGATTAAGGACGTTAATACCGGTAAGTCAGATCTGGTTCTTATGTTGACGTAGGATCAGTATAATTAAAATAAAGAACAACGTAAGCTCGTAGACCGACAGCACCTATCATAGAATCTCGTTAACGTCGAAATTTGCCCCGACCTTTGACACCGGACGAGAAGTATCTTAGGATAACGGGGTAGATCCGTATAATCAGAAAGGAGGCAACGAATCTGACGTCATTGTCAATTTTACCCACCTATAGTAGCTACGATAGAATTAATATGATGTTGCATTAGTATTTTGTGCGCACTGTTAGCGTGGGTCTCCGGAGTGGTTAGTGTAATTCATGGATCTTGTTTCAGGTGTATTTCTAAGTTGTTAGCATGGGTCCTCGATGTGGTTGGTGTAATTCATGGTCCCTGGTCCATATTTGCATATTGTGAGCATGGCCCCTTGTTCAGGTTTACGTATTGTGAGCATGGCTGCTCGATCTGATTGGTGTAATTCATGGTCCCTGGTCCATATTTGCGTATTGTGAGCATGGCCCCTGGTTCAAGTTTACGTATTGTGAGTATGGCTGCTCGATCTGATTGGTGTAATTCATGGTCCCTGGTCCAAGTTTACG